AGTATCGAGAATTGTTGTTTCTATACTAGAAATCTTTGTGAGAGTCATAAAATCTATTTTCATATTTAATTATCAAAGTTAAAGTTTCAAAAATAGTGTAGATCTAGCAAATCTATGAAAATTAGAAAATCTTGAAAATTGACGGTTCCAAAATGCGTTACAAGGTGCATTATTTCCATAACTTGAAATCTATTTTTTTCTCAAGTCATGCATCTTGATGTTGAGATGATCAATTTGAGGATATTTGAGCATCAAAACGTGAAATTTTTGAGGTCCAAGTACCGACCAGCACCATGATGTCCTAGAGCCACCTATGAGCCAGTGCAACGGTTCTTGAAGGCCCCCCTGTGCACCAAGAGAAGGGGAAGATGGTCGCATTCCCGAAAGAATAAGCAGGAATCTCTACTTGATCCGTCACCCTTTAAATATGTCTTCCATTTTACTTTTAAATTTGAAGCCAACAAATATTATACTCCCTTCAGAGTTTTTTTTGTCCATTTACTCCCTCGAGCAGGCCTTATCTAGGGTTAATTTCATAATTTCAATTTTTAGGATATAACCTCTTCAACTTATAGATTAAAATCAATAAGAAATTTCCGAATTGCACCATCCATGCAGTTGGAAAAATACAATGTTTCAAGATTAAATGGAAACTGTCCAGAAGGTGAGATCTAAGTGTTACAAAAATTCAATTTCTATTTTTGTTATTTTGAGAACAATTATCTATTTGACATTTAGGTGATTCCCAAAATTTCAGATTGAAAAAACCCTCCCAAGTAGGTAGTTTGGCAGAGGGAAAAAAAGTAAACTATGCTCCCAAGGAATAATAGTAACATGCCCAAATTTAAAATGTCACAAGAATATATTTTTTATATGTTTTGAATTGATTCAGATGGCCCGAGAAATAACTTTAGTATTGACCTGGGTTGTTATTGTCACGTATTTATTTATCCATTTAAATAAGTGAGATAGCGAAGATGAATTATTGATTATAAAGTGAAATTAATGGACAACAAATACTCAAACAAGAGATCTTTCTTTATATATTTTTCATAAAAAAAATTAAAAAATATAATTCAATAATATTGTTTTTGAAAAACCTAAAAACTAGATTTAAAAAAAAAAAGTAGTGATTTTTTGAAATTTTTCAAGATTGAATCCAGCTAATTCTCCAAACTGAATCACCGATCCACTGATCTGCCCGACTTTTTAGATAGATGATCTAGGTTACGGATCTGTTTTTCTTCTATTCTAAAAGAGAAAAGTTTTCTATCAATTTTTTTTTTCCTTTTTAATATTACTGTATTACGGACTTTTGTAACAAGAGCTAACATTTGTTTGGTTTAAGTTTGTAGTTATATAATCATACTACCACTAAGAAACTTGAATTTATTAGATATTACTATACCCAACCATAAATTTTTAAAATATTTTATTTGTGAGAAAATATTTGTCCAAATGTTCATTCATAAAAGGGACACTATTACTTTTTTCATAAAATTTTAATATATTTTATTTGTGATAAAATATTTATCCAATGTTCATTCATAAAAGGGAGATTATTACTTTTTCATGCTTGGGAAATTTGCCTCTTTCTTATATAGTTATGTATGACTGTTCTCTTTCCTAATTGTCCAAAAATGAGTGGTGTTGAGAAGAGTACACGAGCAAATCAATGTCTTCTAGAGGAATAATTAACCTGCACTCAATAAACTTTTCTGAGGACGTCATCTTATCCTTTATTTGTGATCATTTTCTTTTCAGCTGTTACATTTGTCGCTACTATCTTTTATTATCTGTCTTCCTCTCACTTATCTGAGAAAGAGAGAGCATTTGGGATGTGATATAGATTCTTTAAAAAATGTTCCATGTCTGTTGCAATTAATGATTCTTTAGTTAATACTTATTTATCTGATTAGTTTTCATTTTTATAGAAATAATTATTTATATAAAAGGTGCGGTTTGTATACAGCAAAGGCTCTGAACAATCAAAGTAAAACATACTTTCAAATAGTGTTGAAAAATGTGGTTTCAATACTGGAAAATCTTTGTGATAGCCTTAAAATATATTTTATCTTTAATTATAAAATTTAAAGCTTCAAAAATAGTGTAGATTGAACAGATTGATGAAAACTTGACAATATTAAAAATTAATGGTCCAAAAATATGTTATAAAATGCATTATTTCCAAAACTTGAAACATTTTTTTTTTTTCTCACGACCATGCATCTTGATGTCAAGATGATCAATTTGAAGATACTTGGGCATCAAAACAAACCCTTCTGATGAAATTTTTGAAGTGGGCTCTAACTTGATTGTTTAAAGCCTCAACTCTATATAAAATCAATGTTACAAATTGTGCTGATACTTGCTTTTTATTGAATATGTAATTTATGGAGCAAATATTCTCGAGGTATTGCCAAACAATACAACCGTGGATCTTTGTCTTTACTAAATAAAATTTTAAAAATTTCATCATTAGTCAATCTCTGTCTTTACTAAATAAAATTTCAAAAATTTCATCATTTGAAAAGGTTTATTTAAGAAGTCATAATGGGACATGTTTGTTTTATGTGAAAATATTTTTTGAAAAATATTCTCACTCTTAACCAGAATTCTTTATGAAAATATTTCTCTAAATATATTTTCATGCGTACCAAAGCTGCCCATAGAGACAAGGTGCACCTTAAAAATCTTTGGGAATTTGCAGTCTTCCGGTTGATCTCTCCCCAATTTTCTTCTGGGCAAGCTTTCTATGCTTCCCCTACAGCATAGAAACTCTATCCTCCCCCTTATCCAACTGTCTATCTGAATGGAAGGCTAAGATTGCCCCGATCACAATGTCACACCTCAACACTATTTTATTTTTAATTTTTTTTCTATAAACTATTTTGACACCCAATTTTAGACATTCATTCCTCTATTAATCTCGCACTAGCAAAAAATATATAAAAAAAAATTCCATAAAATAAAATGATCAAAATACCCCTAAAAGTTTCAAGAGCTTTTTTTGTCATTATATTTAATCGAAAAATTATTTTTAATATTTTTTTATAGGTATGCCCCAATGAGAAGATGGCACATACCAAATTTCATATTCATACAAGTTGTATAAAAAAAACTAAAAATAAAATATTTTGAAACGTCGGATCAAAGATCAAACGATGAATAGCTCTCTTGATCAAAATTGAACGGTTGGATGATAAAAAAAAAAAAGAACTTCTACGTTGTAGAGGACGCATAGAAACCTTTCTTTCTTTTTTTTTCTTTTTAAAATATCAACTTCTTGCCCCAGTTATGAGGATGAAGTTTTTATAGGGCCTAGGATTTATAACAACAAAATAAAGTCTCACCTCAAATCTTCGTCCCAAAAGCACTTTCGGCATAAAAAATCTCCATGATGGCTCTAAAATTAATTTTTATACTGATAATAAAATTTGAAACTAAAAAAATGGCATAGATCTTGAAAATCTCTAAATACTTGTTCTTTAAAGCTAATGAAGTGAGGCTTTACTTATTTTGATAGGGCTGCAGCCCTATCAAACCATTTTCCTTATGTTAGCATGAAGTTTCCATATAAGAAAGTACAAGAACCTGGTTACGACTTACGAGACACCAGTGACCATGCAAGGACAAAATTATGGTTTTACATTGGGAGTATCACCACTGGCACCAACTCCAAGGAACCAGTTAATTATGTTGAAGGAATCCTCCTCTACTATAAATACCTGGTTCATATCTCAAGCCATACAGCAAGAATGCCCTAATTTCAGCTTCTTTAGCCACAATATGACTTGCAAATCCTGAGTATTCCAGGACACTAGCTATGTCATATCTAACTTTTTCCTCCCAACTCCTGCTGCACCTGGATTTCTCAAGGAGCTGCCATCTCACTTGCATTTTAAAATCCACCAAACTGTAGCTCCCTCTCTCTTAATCCAATCAACCCTTTTTCATGGGCTAAATTCGTTTTTGCAAATCTCTCTCTTGACCCAATCAATCCTTTATCATGGGTTAAATTCGTTTTCGCAAATCTCTCTCCCTCTCTCTGACCCCAATGATTCCTTTTTCATGGGCTCAATTTGTTGTCGCTAATGTATCTGCGTCTTGCCTTTCCACCTAATCATTCTCTGTTTCTCCTCAATTTAGAAAAAATAGGATTTAAAATTTGAGTAAGTTGGGTTTGATCCTGTATTTCACTTGGAAAGACTCCATCTCCTACATTGAGGAGGTTCTTTAGGGACTCAACCTACATTCTCTTGATTTGGAAAATATAGAGTTTGATCCAAATAAATCAACTTTGAAGAGAAAAAATGAACTTGTCTATAAAATTATTGGCCCCAAATTAAAAAGTAATGCATAAAATGATAAGCAATGTGATTTCATTATTTGTCCAAAAAGAACATGAAGTACAATGAAATAACTTTGCACCACGTGAATTGTACAAAAGGAAGGAAAAATGCTACCACAGAGACCTCCTCAAGATAAGCTTAGAAAAAGATTATGGCTATCCCCATTATGAAGCACGCAGCAGATACCCAAGGGCACAAACGTTCACCTGTTTGAAAACAAGGAAAACATCAAAACTTCGTCACCATTCAATACTTAGCATTATCTCAAACAATATAAATAAATCTTCACAGACAAATCGCATAAATTTTCAGCAAACGACCTATAGCTTTCTAGCTAAATTTCCAGAAATCAAATATTCCCTTCTTGTAGTAACTTAAATGCATACTCTCTTTTTCTCTTAACCAGGTAGACATAAAATCACTATATATTAGAATGAAACGTACTGTAATGTACTTTTCATCAATAGAGCACGTACTACTGAAATGGGTGTAAATTACTAGTGATGCAATTGACTCGTGTATTTTTGTTTTTGGTGGGGTAACATGATACTGGCATGATACAATATGAAAGTCGTTGTACAAGTGCACTTGAGTTATATAATGCATTTCCTTAATCAATCACCCCAAGCTCAAACTCTCATTTGGAGCAGTGAAAGATGGCAACTAATACGGTTGCATTGCTATTTGAAAAGTTTTTTTGTAAATAAATCTTCAATCAGGTTGTCAAATAGTTACGAACTCTGATGTTACTTCTAGTTGTTCAACCTTTTCTCTAATCAAGTTACAGTATATTTCAACCTTTTCTATAAACAAATCATGGTAAATTGCAAATAATCATAAAGAACTTTCTAGTGAATTTCTTTTTGCATTCTTGGGGTATGAAAGATTGGATTGGAGGGGAATCTAATAATACCTTAATTACCGCAATATGGTCCAACTAAACCAACAAAATACCCAATTAAGTAGATGAAGAATCCAAGACTTCCCATGGGCATGTGTTTTACACGAGTTTGTCGTCCGCATTTTACTTCTTCACATCACGCATCTCCCATTCAATTCTCTCGTAGGAGACTCCAGGCCAATTAGCAAAATCCATTTATGTTTAACTATATGCCTAATACTTCAGGATTCGACAGCTCATCACTTACTGCCCTCTCAAAGCATCCAATGATTGTCGTACTAACTTCTAAACAAAGCTCCCTAGGACTAAGAATGATGACTAGGCATGAACCGGTAAAGCTAATCAACAATCAATGTAATGCCTGTAGTAATAAAGGTCAAATAATGTGGACATCAACCGCGCTTTTATCGCAAACATGATCAGGCAGGATTCTCCCCCTTTTGTGTTCCTCTTCATCGCAGAAAAATAAATGACTTCACCTTGTCAAATCACCTTTTTTTTTTTTTTCGAGAAGGGGGGGGGGGGGTGGCCGGTGGTTTTTTCTTTTTTTTTGGGGGGAGGGGAGGGGGAGTGGGGGGATGGGGCACTATTCCAATCTTCCACACCAAGAGATTGTAATAAGTCATGTCTAATGCATCTTTGATGTCAGGGTTCCACTTTTTTTTATACTGTTAAGGATGGTTAAAGAAGTACAAAGCAAGAAGTCACCAAGAGCAAGGAGTGACAAAAGAAAATTTAAAACCAAAAACAGGGGTCACAGCCCCAAAGATACAGTAGGCAATAAAAGACAAAATACAAAAAGCGAGCCCCTTAGGCAAGTCAAGCGATTAGGGCAGGAGAAGAGCGGAGGCGGCTCCCTATTTTGCTAGCCCGTCAGCGACCTGGTTGGCCTCCTGCCAAAGATGAGTCCAAAAGACTGGCGTATCCCTACAAAGATCGAAGATAGCATAAAAAATGGTCCATAGCCTCCACGGGGGTTGGGCTTCTCCGGAAGCCCAAGAGATGATGTTTTGCGAGTCCCCTTCCACCCAGAGAGGGAGACCAAAGGAACTATCAAAGCATTGCAGGCCTTCTAGGAGGGCCCTGGCCTCCCCCTCAGTAGAGTCGGCTAGCCCTATAGAGAGGGAGTAGGAGAGGAGGGCGGATCCAGGGTCGTCCCGAAAAACTCCCGTTACTCCCCCGACTCCTGTCGGGCCGGGGTTACCTCATGGAGAGTCGTTGAAGTTGAGTTTGACGGCACCACTCTCTGGTGGTCTCCAGAGACCTGACTGAGGCACCCTGGCATGCCGGTGATTGAGAATGTGGATCCAACTGGAGACCCGGGTATGCCTTTAAAGAGTTTGTTATTAGAGGCCTAGAAGATGACCGAGCCCCTAATGCAATCAATAAGTTTGGAGAGAGGAGCTGACTCCCCCTTGGAAAATATAACGTGGCACCCATTGTGGCTTTCCATAGCAGTACCCCGGCTTTCGGTATGGGAGATAGGACGAAGAAGAGACGAGACTGGGGACGTCCGTGGGGGTAACCCAAGACCAACCGAAGAGAGATAGGTTGGATTGCCAGAGGGCCGCAACTATAGGGCAGTGAAGGAAAAGACGTATGTTGGTCTCGTCGGCTTCCCGACACAATACACATGTTTGGGATCTCATTGTACGAGTTCAACCATGAGAACCCTTTCCCACAAAGCGAGTAACATGAAGAACTGGATTCTAGGTCGAATGATGGTGGACCAAGCCTTAGGAATCACCGAATGACTTGGCGAGGTGCCAGGGTTAGGGGAGAAGGAAGAGCGATAGAGTGAGGCCACTGAGAACTTACCCGAGTTGGAGGCAGTCCAGACTATCCGGTCCTCTCCCCTCCTAAGTGAGGGGAAAGAGGCACTGAGGAGGGGGAGTTCCTAGAAGACAGGCAATTTAGAGTCGCACAAAGTGCGACGGAAGTCAGGGTTCCAGAGCCTAGGTCCACTATCAATGGGGAAGAGGGAGAGCATAGAGACGGACAGATCATGCATGAGATGGTAGAGGGATGATAACCGAGAGAAAGAGGAGAGGAGATAAGCCAGGGGTCTAACCCATAGGGGAGAAACAGATACGCTCTTTGAATAGGGAGAGAGAGTGTAGGATCGAACGCCAAAAACCAGAGACACGGTAATTGGAGCAATAAAGGGATAGACCAAGGTGTGGAGGAAAGCCGATATTTGGAGAGGATGCGGTGCCACAGATGGTTACCTTGTGTGGCCAGTCTCCACCACCATTTGTAAAGAAGGACAAGGTTGGCAAGTTTGAGGCTGCGAATTCCCAATCCCCCGAGGGATTTGGGTTGGCAGACTTTCTGCCAAGCAAGAAGGTGGAATTTCCAAGGGGACCTGTCACCGGACCAGAGAGTTGTTCCAATCGGTTTTGAACAGAGGCTGAAAGGTGGAACATGGACATGAGGTAGAACGGTGTTGATAAGCGTGAGTCTACCAGCAAGAGAGAGAAATCTCCCTTTCCAAGAGGCAAGCTTTCTTTCCACTCTGTCAAGGAATAGGCCCCAATGGGCTTTACGAGGCTTGCTGAAACAGAGTGGCAATCCCAAGTAGGAAGAGGGAAGGGCCTCTGTACCACATCCCCAGTCATCCGCGAAGCATTGTAACACGGCAGGATCAATCGCTATACCCATCATCTTTGATTTGCTAAAATTGACTTTGAATCTAGTGGCAAAGTGGAAACAGTGGATGAAGAAGAGCAGGTTGTTGACTTGGGTAGACAACGCCTCACAATAAAGCAAGGTGTCGTCTACGAATTGAAGGTGGGTAATGGTTTGGGAGCCTATATGGAAGCCTGATGCTAAGCTCGCTTGATAAAGTCTGTCCATGGCCCTACTGAAGACTTCAGCGATGATGGATCCCCTTGTCTCAAGCCCTTGTGGGACCGAAAGAACCCGTGAGCAGATCTGTTGATGAGGATGGAGAAAAAAGGGCCACGGATACAACCCCAAATCCATTTCCTCAATCGAGCTCCAAAGCCCATCCTTCGTTTGGTTTCTTCAAGGAGTTCCCAATCGACGTGGTCGTAAGCCTTCTCCTAGTCCAGTTTGATAACGAGACCAGGAGATTTCTCCAGTGAGTGAGCGTGGATGTACTCGCGAGCAATCAAGGCTCCGTCAAGGATCTGACAATCCTTAACGAAGGCTAACTGATTGGGCGAAATGATGGAGTTGAGGACAAATTAAAGCCTCGTGGCAAGGACCTTGGCCAAAATTTTATAGGAGCTATTGACGAGACTGATGGGTTGGAAATCCTTAAGTTCAGTGGCCCCTTCTATTTTGGGAATGAGAGCAATGAACGTCGCATTCATACCCTTACTGATGATACCTCTGGCATGAAATTCAGCGAAGAAATCGAGACAAAATATCCCAATACTGATTGAAAATGGCAACAGGAAAGCCATCAGGTCTAGGGACACGATCTTGGCCCAGATCTCGACTAGCCTTTAAGATTTCAGATTCTACGAAGGATCTCTCAAGCCAAGAGGCTTGTGCTGTGGAGATGGAAGCAAAGGCCAAATCACCCAAGACAGGGGCTGGCCTAAGCACGGAAGAGGTGCTGGAAATAGTTGAGAGTGGTGGAGGAAATGGCCACGGGGTCATCGTGGATGACCCCTTGATGGGAGATAAGGACAATAGAGTTGTCCCTCCTACAATTTGCTATTTTGTGGAAATAGGTGGTATTCCGGTCTCCACAATTGAACCACTTGACACGAGATCGATGTACCCAGTAGAGTTCCTCTCTACGGTGTATAGTTTGTAGGTCAGATTAAGCTGAGTTCTAAAGAGGTTCTCAGCTGGGGATAAGGAGCGTGAGTCTTCCAGGAGCTCAAGATCGCGAATGGAGGCTTGAATGGAGGATTTGGAAGCAGAGAAGTTCCCAGGTAGGTTGAGTCTCCAGTCCTTAGGGGAGGGGACTTGAGGAGGGATAGTTTTTTCAGCAGTCTAAACCCTATGCCAGAGTTCCACTCTTGGTTACTTTATCAAAGCTTCCTACGATAATATTGCCATCTCCCAGAAGCAAAATTAGCACAACCACCATGCTAGATCTTGTGCCAAAAAAACAAGATCCATCACACGGCTTTGATATCCTCCCTGTCAAACAATGCCCTTAGTGTATGTATCACTAAATTGCCTTCTAAATATAAAGACTAGTTCTTGATCTTTTGCTGCATTTGTAAGCCTTTCCTTTATTTAAGATATTTGTAAGCCTTTCCTTTGTTCAACATACAATTTGGCTCCCTGACAAAATCATTGGTCCAATACATCAAGAAATCA